GTTTTTGTAATAATAAATGGTTTTGTAAAAATTAGTTGGCCAACAACCGCAATGTTTTCTTCTATCCATTATTATAAAAATGACAATCAGCTGTTTACGGGAGCTTAGAACTCGCATAGCTGCTTGTCAAATACAAATTTGGATCTGTTTAACCAATTAACCCAAATTAACGCTGTCGTCTGTCATGGCTTTTATACTCGTTCAGAGATTTCTCTCCCTCGTGTGAACACCTTGTTTGTAAAAAGACCTTTTATAGAAAAGCTAATTTTGAAACGTCTGGCAGTTACATTAAGTGTCAGTGAATGAGCAACACAATCAGGTGAAAAAGAAGAGCACTATTTCACGGTTTGTGAAAATATTTAATTTTTCCAACTGAACTTTCGTCTGCACCGCATATTTATTCTGTAGACTGAAAAGCTCCAAAGCTTCTCTTAAAACCATGTTACGATTAGCCTTTAACAAATCACATCTGTAAGTCAAAATATGAGATAGATTATGAAACAGTTATCTGATATTATAGATGTAATGGCGTCATCGTTTAATAAATTTCTCGCATATCCTTCAGGGGTACAACCCAAAGAACCACGTATTTATGCACGAAAGTTATTTGCTCCAATCATTCCACGCTTTGTAACAAGTCTGTACGCAGGCAAACTTGTGATGAGTACGACAGACCCCAAAGTAAACGTGGTCCAGGTGATTTTCTATACCCTCATCCTTACGGAAGACATGGCTGGTATGTACCACCAACTCGAAAATACGGAATGCTTGTGGTCAGAATATTACGTGGTGCTTTAAAACTACGATATATTGTTCTTGGTGGCGCTATTGGTGGTGGCGTATCACTAAGTAAAGTAAGTATAAATATTGACACATTTTATTAACAGATTATTAGATATAAATATGTTCATTATCAATCGTTGTAGAAATATGAAGAATGGAAAGATGGTCTGCCCGACATGAAATGGTTGGAGGATGTTTTGCCACAAGGCGAAAGATGGAATAATTTTTCGAGAAAATTGATGGATGTTGGCAGTGTTATGAAGGAAGTTGTGCAAATAGGTAAGAAATGTAAATAATGAGTGTTTTTGATATTCTCTCACAACTCGAGTAGGAATTTTATTAATATAAATAAGTAATTGGGTATTACTAATTGCATTTTTGTGCAGATAAATAACTGTAGTAATTTTCATATGTAATTTAAATGTAATTGTTTTCGTATTTAGATCCTAAGCTAAAGGAGCTCGGGGAAGAGAAGATAGCAGAATGGAAAATATGGTTCGATAATCGTCTGGATGATGCCATTGAGGCCGCGGATTATCAAGGCAACAATGCCAGTATAATTGAATGTACGTTCATTTTAATATCATTAGCCATTTTTTAGTGAGAGAATTTCAAAAACATTTGACAAATCCTTGTATATAAAGATTAATACACATGTACTAACAAAATATTTTTTTTAAATAACTTAATAATTAGCAAAAGATGATATTAAATCCAAAGCTTCTGTGTCGGCATTAGGTCTGTCTAATGATGACAGTCGTAAAAAATATGGTAATTATGAAATTTCAAAAGAATTAATTGATCAAAAAAATTAAATTAAATATTATTTTTAATTTTAGAGAACTTGCAAACTCAAGTTGAAACCTTACAAACGGAAATTATGAATGTACAAATTAAGTACCAAAAGGAATTAGAAAAAATGGAGCGAGAAAATAGAGAATTAAGGCAGCAGTATTTAATACTAAAAGCGAATAAAAAAACAACTGCTAAGAAAATCAAAAAATCCCTTATTGATATGTATTCAGAGGTTCTTGATGAACTGTCAGGCTATGACACAAGCTATTCCATGGCCGACCATTTACCTCGCGTTGTGGTTGTTGGTGATCAAAGTAGTGGAAAAACGTCAGTTTTAGAGTCTATTGCAAAGGCACGCATTTTTCCTCGTGGCAGTGGAGAAATGATGACACGTGCACCAGTTAAGGTGACTCTCGCAGAAGGGCCTTATCATGTTGCTCAATTTCGTGACTCGGATCGTGAATATGACTTAAATAAAGAATCTGACTTGTCAGAGCTACGCCGTGAAGTGGAGTTAAGAATGAGAGCTTCTGTTCGCGGTGGCAAAACAGTAAGCAATGAGGTCATTTCAATGACAGTAAAAGGACCTGGTTTGCAAAGAATGGTTTTAGTCGATTTACCAGGAATAATATCTGTAAGCTAAAATAATTATGTTATATACATATATTAACATTAACTGAAACTTTGCTTATATATCTTTACTTAGACGATGACTGTTGATATGGCAGCTGACACGAAGGACTCAATTCACCAAATGACTAAGCACTACATGAGCAATCCGAATGCAATAATTTTATGCATTCAAGATGGTTCAGTTGATGCTGAACGAAGTAACGTGACTGATCTGGTAATGCAGTGTGATCCACTAGGACGACGCACCATATTTGTTTTAACCAAAGTGGATTTGGCTGAAGAACTCGCAGATCCTGATAGAGTATGATTGGAATTTTTGCATTCCTTAATATAACTAAGTCATATTCAACTATTTAACAGATACGCAAAATTCTTTCTGGCAAGTTATTCCCTATGAAAGCGCTAGGATATTATGCTGTAGTAACTGGTCGTGGGCGCAAAGACGACAGCATTGATGCCATTAGGCAATATGAAGAAGATTTTTTCAAAAATTCAAAGCTTTTCCAGTAAGTAACTAATTTTACCAATTCAGGGCTGAGTGAAACTGATATCCATTTAGCCGACGAGGTGTGATAATGCCCCACCAAGTAACTAGCCGAAATCTCAGCTTGGCAGTCTCAGATCGATTTTGGAAAATGGTCCGCGAAACAATAGAGCAACAAGCCGACGCCTTTAAAGCTACCAGATTTAATTTGGAGACAGAATGGAAAAACAATTTCCCACGGTAATTTCCTTATTTAACAGTGAATACTAATTTATTAATACAGTGTGTATTGCACAGGCTTCGTGAGTCAGGGCGAGACGAATTATTTGATAAAGCTAAAGGGGAAATATTGGATGAAGTTATCACGCTCTCACAAATATCCGCAAAGAAATGGGAAGAAGCGTTGACTGAAAAACTTTGGGACAAGCTATCAAATTATGTGTTTGAGAATATTTACCTGCCGGCCGCACAGTCAGGTTCTCAAAGTAATATTATGTAAATATAAACTAGAAACTATTGTAGTTCGCTTGCTGGCACTCATTCTGTTATGTTGTGCTTTTAATGAATTCATTAATGCCTAAAACATTTTTTTTAATAATTGTTATTATTCAGGCGTTCAAACGGAGCAGTATGTGTTTGGATTGTTCTACTATAATAACATATATATGTAAACGCACAAACCCTTCTTCCTATGTATTTATGTATGAATTACACTCACACCTTATGTACTCAGGTGTACTCAAAGTAATTTACACATGGGTTTCATTTTATAAACATATTTATACTCGTCATCAAGCATTTTCACTCTTTTTGATAAATTGTAAAAAATCTTACCAAACACCTTCATACTCATATAAATATCCTTCCAGATTCCTTCAACACAATGGTGGATATAAAGCTGCGGCAGTGGGCAGAACAGGCTCTGCCTGCTAAATCGGTGGAGGCAGGTATGTTCCGTTAAGATATTAAAATGATTTTTGGTTATAATGACTATACATAGGTTGGGAAGCCCTGCAAAACGAGTTTATATATTTAATGGAGAAAGCGAAAAAATCACCTGACCATGACGACATTTTTGATAACCTTAAAGGCGCTGTGGTGGACGAAGCGATTCGTAGGCATTCTTGGGAAGATAAGGCTATCGATATGTTGCGAGTCATACAACTGAATACATTAGAAGATAGGTTCGTTCATGATAAAACTGAGTGGGATCAAGCTGTTAAATTTCTGGAAACCTCTGTAAAAGCTAAACTGACACACACTGAAGAGACTTTGAATGAGATGTTGGGTCCAGGGCAATTCACTCGTATAACTCATTGGAAATCGCTAACAGAAGATCAATCGAAACGACGTTGTGTGAAAACGGAACTGGATAAAGTACTGAAAAACGACGATGTGAGTGCTCCAAAATATCTTAGTACAATCAAATATCAATTCAATTGTAATAAAATTTAGAAACACTTACCTACATTATCCTACGACGAACTAACGACGGTCCGAAAGAACCTACAGCGTGATGGCATTGAGGTCGACACAGACTACATACGTCAAACGTGGTTTCCTATTTATCGAAGGTATTCTATGTTCTTCAAGTTTGTTCGACAATTTTTTTCCTAAACATAGTTTTTCTATTCTTTTAATTTCAGACACTTCTTGAAACAGGCACTAAATCGTGCGAACGACTGCCGTAAAGCATATTACTTATACAGCCAACAGGGTGCAGAATGTGAGGTAATAATTATAAATGTATAGAACCTTGTTAGCAAGTTTACGAAGTGGTTAATGATGTTTCAGATAAGTTGTAGCGATGTTGTCCTCTTTTGGCGCATTCAACAAGTGATTAAGGTTACATCGAATGCACTGCGGCAGCAAGTAATTAATCGCGAAGCGCGTCGATTAGATAAAGAGATTAAAGAGGTTCTGGATGAATTTAGTGATGACGAAGAGAAAAAGGCGCAATTGCTAACCGGGAAGCGAGTGACACTTGCGGAAGAATTAAGTATGCTATTTTAATTGAGTTAATCGCAAATAAATAAATATACGATTTATTTTACAGTTAAAGTACGACACATTCAAGAAAAATTAGAAGAATTTATTAATTCTCTTAATCAAGAAAAGTAACTGTTCACTGCGTGGACGTATGTCTAGTCCTTATTTAAAATTCATCGAAATAACTCCATGATTCTGACAGAAAAATATTAGTTGATATTGATTTGTTCACCATTGTGATTTATTTATTTAAAATTCTGTTTTTATTGTTAGAGCGTGACATTTTAAAAATGAGTGCAAAAATAAAAATAGATGATTGAACTTATTCATATTTATTATTTTAATATTTCCATTTGATTCATGGACAAAATAAAGCAACTTATATAAGTGGTATTAAATGATTAAATTTTAGGGAAATCACTATATTTATGATATGATATGATGCGCCTACTAATTGCTATGCTGGCAAAGTTGCCCTCCGTTGTCACTTTCTGTCCTAAGAGTCCTTATAAGTCTCTTTAAGGTAGTAGAAGCGTTACATAATTCAAAGGTACTCTCATGCTGCCACCTTTTTTCTTCAAAAGTCCCTCATCTGAACTTCATGGACTCGCCGCTTTCGCTCATTTCACGTGCAGTCGGGTTTACAACGTCACGGTTTGCTTGAGGAACGCTTCGAGGAGCCTGGCGAATTGGTCTCGCATGTTGTTGTGTTAATGAAATGTTTCAAATCTTTGGTTCTTCTTGGTGTGAAATCGTCTATCAAAATGGTTGAGTATCTAAGTTATTTAGCCTTATTTTGATGATTTGCCTCCAGTCCCTTAATCCATGTGTTAATTTCGTTCAATATATCGTTTTTGCCAATGAATCTTCAAGATGTACATACTTCACAATTTATCTCTTGACAATGTCTTAACATAGATCCCCACGAAGATTGATCGGTGACTTTAACTCATTAAATAATTTTACTGGAACACATTTATCTTGTCCTGTCATAGCCAGGGTTTTTCATATGAGTAAGTCTGGTGTAAGTTTTTCTGTGGCCTCAACAAACTAAAACTTGTTTGTCCCATAGTCTCCATCCACTTCTTCCCAAATAACTGCTTCTGATTTTGGTGGAATATGCTCTCAGACTGTTATTTTGTATTTGTTATCATATCCTTATAATATTCAATTATTATTTCATCGACGATATATGCAACTACAAAATAGTGTATCACGGATGCCTTTCCAATTATGACCCTGAACGTTACTTCTCCGAAGATTTCATTTCCTCCTGCAGTTGCAGTACGCAATTTTGCATCAGCTAATGGTCTTACTTCTTTATTAACCAGATCAGATCGAATTCTGGAATTTAACGACCCTGTATCCACACTCAGTATACGCTATTTACCGTCTGCACATTCCATAATGGAAACATTACTCATACTCCTGCTTATTTGTGAAATGGAGATTATGGCGTCCGTTGCGGGAACTAGTCCATGCCTTTTTTCGTTGGCTTGTTTTGGTTTAACAATTGGTTGAATTTGACATCTTAACAACGCTAACTAGGCCAAATGCTCCGAAATTTGCCAAAATTTAACGGGAACACTTGAAGTTTTGTAAGCTTTCCACATGTGTGAGTATACTTTGGGCAACCGTCTAACCCGATGAGGGATATTGAAATTCAATTCGATTGCTATGCCTGCTCAAGGCAAAGAAAAACGGAATGCGTTGTTCGACAGCTGCACAAAATACCAAAGTCCTGCGCACTGCTTACTGTCATCAAGTTTCCATGAGAATAGCTATCTTCATAAGGTGCGCAATCTCCCTCTAACCAGAATAGTGGCCCACTGCTGTATCGTAGGAACTCAGGCATCATATTGCCCGATAGTTCTCTGTTCCCCAGTGGTAATAACGATCTTTATTTGCTACTTCTGAATTTAACACACCAGTTGAGCTTTGCACTATGAACAATTAAACAACTTGTTATATCCCACCAGAGGGAATTTCTGTGACTGTGCACAATAATGACATCGGCCACTGGAACTGATGACATGTGTTTTATAGTAAACGACTTTCTCCGAAAAATTTCTCGCTTCTTTACTGCAAGGAGCCTAAACTTCCCCTACTAAACCAAAAGCCCATTTATTCACTAAATGTGAAGATATTGTCTTCTATGACAAAATAGTTATTAAATAACACCAAAACTTTGGGCGTTACGTATGATAATTTGTCCGTTTACACTCTGCGTGCAATAATGACTATAACCACCTATCCTCAAATTAATAGCCGTCAGAACCTGAGGAAAATATAAAAAATACGTTATTAACAACTCACAAAGCAATCTGACGCATCACATCTGGATGATTAAAGATACCATACAATCATGGATAAAATGATCCGGAACTCTTCTACTTGTTGAGAGAACCCATGATCATTGTATATACCTACAAGTAACCAATCCTTCATTTTTCACTAACACATACGCAAAAATCTACTACAAATTAGGCACTTGGTACGGGTTGCCCCTAAATATTCTACTACAAATTAGGCACTTGGTTCGGGTTGCCCCCAAATATTCTGGTACTAATTAGTCACTTGGTACGGTTTGCCCCAAAATATTCTACTAATAAAACGTTCAAATGCCTCAAATCTGCTTTAGTGTGTTGCCGTGTTAGGTTTTAAAATTTATAACTTTAACAATATTTTTATAAAATATTCAAATATTTTTCGATTATTTAAATTCCCAAATATCAAATTTAGTCAGTTTTTTCCAAAATATTAATTATTGTATCAATATATTATTAAATGTTTCCAATTTTATAAAAAAAATATTTATTTCCAKAGWTACCTTGATCTGTGATTTTGAAATGAGAATTTTAGCGATTAGGTTTGTACGCTTATTATCAATATTTTTTTGTTTTTTAAGTGTTTTCGTATACCAGGTATAGGACCCTTCTTTCCACCACTAGTCTTTTGATAGGGTTTGTAATAAGTATTTCGCTGTGGGTGATTTAGAATATTTAGTAAATATKATTTATTACCTAGTAGATTGTTTTGAATATTATTGTTGATTTTCCTGAATTGTACCTGATTTTTTGTATTAGTTTTTGTTTTTGTTAAAATTAACACAAGCAATCGACTTGTATTGTTAATKTATACATACAACGGAATTGTACCTAATTTTTTWTATATTTATTTTGCTTTTTGTTTAAATATTTTCAGGTTGATTGTTTTGACATACATATGTATATTGTCAATGTTATATTTTTAATGTAATTAATATTCATGAATTGTACCTGACTTTATATATTTATTTTTGTCTAGTCATATTTTTTATAATAAGTAGATTGATTTAAAACTGTATATATAAGAAGAGTGAAAATGGGGCTCCTGGTTAGCCGAACACCCAAACAGATCGGTGGGCCGCCTACTTTGCAACCTCAGAGGTGGTGAGGAAGAGCAATAAACATCCAATAATCTTTTTTTTCAAAAATATTCTTGAAAGTTTTYATTAATGTTTTCCGTAACAAATACTTTTTCACAAAAAATTTAATCTACTACATTTCTTTTAATTACATCTCTGTGCCTWAAAAAGGCAGATTTCGATCAGGTGATCTCAGCTGTGAAAAATTCTTGGAAAACAGCTGATTCTTTTGTTACTTGTAGAGTTATACAATGCCCATGATCTCGTTGTTTGCTTTGGCAGCACTGAAAGTTCATGCGCTACTGAACAGAGGGCAAGCAAAACAAGAACTACTACTAAGAATCTCCTAGAAATAAATTGCAAAATTAATGGGTTATTATTATCATAATTTTTTTTTTTGAAGATGGAACGTGTATTTTGTCGCAGAGTTTTTTCGCTTCGTCGTATCAAATGTCAACGAAAGTACATACATATGTACATCTTTGGAATTCCCTGTAAATGTTATTTAAACTTTGACTTCCGAATAAATAATTAAAAATATTACTTTATTAACAATATAATTAGCCTAAAAAGAAGTTTTTTAGTTTCATATATGGGTCATTTAAAACATGCAAAGTTTTTTAAATATTAAAATGTTTTGTTATATTGAGGTTTAAATTTTATTTATGAAAATCGTTTTTAATTATAATTATATATTAGGGTGTAATATATAATAGGATATATATTATCTAAAACTATTGATAACTCTAATTGCCTTTCAGTGGAATGTAAATCGAAAAATACCTAAGAAATACGACAAAATTTTTAAAACTCAGTTATTCCTATGTGGCACCATTAAAAAATTTTATAAGCAGTGCTCTTTCGATCAAAGAGTTTCGAATCATGATATACCTGCTTTCAGTGGCGTTGCTACAACTTCGGGCGCCCGGGGCCAAGGATGTTCTGCCGCCCCCCTTTATCTACATACCTACCTACAAGTTTCATGAGGTGGTCCGAACAAAAGTGAACTTTTACAAAATATCTTCGATATTAAATATATAAAATTTAGGAATTAGAAGCCACGCAAATTCTGATGTTCCAAAATTCTCACACGGTTTTTGAGGAAATTGATAGTAAATTTACAAGACATCTTATTAAAAGCCATAGAACCCACATAAAACCCATTTTCTCCCTATATCTTGTATACTTTTGACACAATTTGCAGGTATTTTTGGCCGAATTGGAGTTTTTTAAATAACATTTTTGAGAATTTGGAGAAATAAAAGTATTTGTTCCCAGCGGTATATGGTAGACATTGGTAAGCGAGCAAGGTAAACGATCCTGCATGATTGCATTATCGCTTACTCCTATGTCCTACGAAAAGTAAGAGATCACCTCTTTCGCTTACCATAGGAAGAAAGAATTCTTCGATGCCAAAGTTAACGAATAATTCTTCTATGCCAAGATCAATAGTAAAATAGAAAAATTAGCATATTAATTTTGCTTTATTTATGATATGTATATATTTCGTTATGAAAATAAGTATTTATGTATTAAAAGGAATGATTTTCTTTTAAGCTACGATATTTAAAGAAACGGTATATAAAGCGAAGATCGTTTTGCCGCCCCAAGACGTTGCGCCCGGGGCGACAAGTAAAGAAGGGCTAAGTTCAGATGCAACCGAACAGTATATACTTTTGAAACTTACAAGAATTAAAGCCAGGAAAATACTTTATGGTGTAAAACGTCAAGCGAAGGGTAGAAATCTAAGAAATTTTATATATCTTCTGCTTCCCCCGGCGGGTACTGCGTCGAATACTTCCAGAGCTGGAGTGTTTTCGACCAATCGGACAAAATGACCTAGCCAGCGTAGCAGCTGTCTTTAAAATTTAATTTTATATATACATATACTAAATATAACTTCTATGTTGACAGACACATACGGTTTGTTAGAAAAAAAGAACACCATTATATGAAGTACATATATGGAAGTTGAGGTAATACCGACCAGATTTTATCTATTTTTCCCAATATCACATACTATCAACAGTCACATACTAAAAAACTAATCATATAGAGTAAAGTCAGCCGGATGTTCGAAATATTAGTTATATAGCGTCAAGGTCAAGTTCTCGCCTCTCTCCATTTTAGGCACAGAGATAGACTGTTATGAGTACCGTACCGTTCCCACGACAGTCGGGTCTACGAAAACCGGAACGGACCCGGATTTTTATCCGGCCAAGAACTGTCAACTCGGCAGAATTCTGCCGTTACAACAACAACAACAACTGTTATGAGTAAAAGACGCACATCAAAGTCGACATAAGCGATACAAAATCACCCGGAAGTTTGATTATCTTTATATTAGATATATTTGGTCCGATTCAACCCATTTTTAACATATAGATATATCATTGCCAGAGAAGTAATATCCCTGAATTTCAATTATACTTATATCTCACACATTGACCGATATTTTCGATAAAAAGCCAACTATAGGTACAATTTTTGGTCATAAGGTGGCATACACTAAAGGTATTGTTCGTGAAGAGTTTAATCCTGTTATATTAATTGATTCTTGATTTGTGTACTGGAAAGTAAAATAATCAAGTGAAATTTAAAAGTGTGTCAAATGGGAAGTAGGCGTGTTTACTGTCCTTACTCATTTTCAAAACATAGAAATATGAATGTAACGCCTCGTACCAAATTTTGTCAAAATCACCAAAATGTGGGCGGTGCCACGGCCATCCCCAAATTTTTATCCCATTTATTAGAGGGCGTAGGCAATTACGGACCAGTTATTATCTAATGTATGGCGAATTTGATCGATGTAGTAGCTACTCCAAGACGAATTTCGTGAAGGTTGTTCAAAAATAGTTGTACTTCCGTAAACCATTGATGGTGTGCGCAAACTGATATTGCAAGATCGTCATATGACTTATCATGAGATTGAGACAACTAGGCATTGGTTAGACCAGCATACATTCAATATTCCATGAACATACTTGTATAACAATAAAAACACGCTAGCTAGAAAACGTTTGATTCCACAAAATATGTCAATCGTCTAAAAAGTCTCGATTGGTCAAGAGTAATGTTAAAAATACGAAGCGGTGCTTCTAAACAGATCTATGGTATCTTGACTGGTGATGAATCGATGAATCGACGATTTATTCATATGAGCCCGAAAGTAAACAGCAGTCGACTGTATGGGTTCTTCCAGATGTGCAGAATCTAACAAAAGTTCGCACACGAAGCACTTTCTAGCGAGTGGTTGTATGGTCTGTATAAAATGTAAGGAGGAGTCCTCTTCTATAATATTTTGCTTTTATCCCGGGGTTTTAAACATTAATTTGCGACTTCACATATGTATATATAAGTTGGTTTCGTTTTTGTGATTCCTTTATTATAAAGACTAAAAACTAATGTCACTGGTAAGATATGGTTGGATGCAATTGACAAACACCCGAAAATTAAGTTTAAAATTTTTATTCATTAGATTATTCCTTCGTTTTTTTTTTTTAAACAAATTAATAAGTTATAAATGTTAGTGTTACACTGCGGTTTATATTAAAATTAGAGTAGTCGTTGCTATTAAAATATAATAACTTTTTCGACCTACATATGCAAATATGCATATCCTAAAAAATATTTAATTACAATTTCGTAACTTCTCAGTATAACTTATAAATTGTATTTAAGCTATTTGCCTGACTTCGGTTAGGAAGCTTTAGTTTCGTCTCGGTCACTACGAACTTATTTTTTACATAACATAAAACATATATATATATATATCCTTCTGCGTCGATTATATATATATGTATATATACATATATATATCAATATTTTCATATGTGTGCACACATACACAGTTTAAATTCAAGTCTTTAGTTTTACTAGTTTATTGTTATATGTTCATTCAGTTGTATGATATTATTTTAAATTTAAATTTAATTTTAGCTTTAATTTTAATTCCCGAATATTTATGTACTTAGGCTCTTGGGGGGCTCTGCGCGGCCTTTCTCTCATTGCGCGCCTTCTCCCAGTTAGCAATATATGTCAATGGGTAGCAGAGGAACGCCGAAACTAATATCAGTCCGCCAGCAAAGTAGAACGAAGTATTGTAGTCCTGTGTCAGCTCAAAGAGTATGCCTGAAATGGTAGGAAAATGTTGATGAATATAATTAATGGTGGGCACTTGAATTTTCGTCTGTGAATTTAAATCAATTTAAAATACTATATAAACACCCTTTTTTTATTTCTGCCTTGTTGAATTCCAATAAACCCTAATAAGTGCAAGCGTACATACATAAAGAGTTTGTCCGGAAAGTAATAGGACTCAGTCGATTAAAAAAATTGATTGAATCAATCGTTACAATTCTTTAAAAACTTTCGAAATAGGCTCCTTCTGCGTCTATTAAGCGCTGTCAGTGCGATTTTCAAGCATCAAAGGCGTCACGGAAGGCATTCTCCGAAATAGCCTTGAGAGCAGAGGTGCATGATGCTTGAATCCCCTCTGACGTTTAAGAATGCTTGGCTTTCATCGGCATTTTCAGGCAAGGAAACAAAAAGGAATATTTAGGTAACCCTAAATAAATATTAAAGTCTCCGTCTCAGCTTTAGCAAGTTTCACACAGAATTTAATCGCGTACCTCTGCTCTAACGAACGCCGAATTTTCGACTTGCGTCATTCACAGAATCACGTCGCGCGAAAATGTTTTACCTGACTCTCCAGGTGCTCGGAGATAACTGACCAGCCGTTCGTTTGTTGGCTAGGATCTGTCTCTTATACACATCTAGATGTGTATAAGAGACAGGCCATGTATAATGCTTACATACATACTATTTAACAGTCCTTTAAAAATAACACGATTAGTTTTATACTCTCGCAACATGTCGCTTCTAACGGTTGCTTATATTAGTTAAAACTAATCAAGATAGATATGGAGTTAAATATGGTATATAAATGATTAGGATTACAAAACGAGTTGAATCGAGTTGGTCCGTCCGTCTGGTAGTGCAAGCGATAATATTGACGAAACTTGCTACATATCGTCACCTAAAATGTAAAATAAGGTATCATCAAAAAATTCGAAATTGAGTATCCTATTAATTACGATTGACTACTTCAAATTACATACATAATATTACATATTTATATCCAACATTTTCGAGTTCTGCGTTCATACATGAACCAGTTTTAACTAATAAAAAATATAAATTTGAAATTGGGAGAAATCGGGCCACTACCACTACCATAACCAAGTACTAAATTAACTCACAAAATCAGAGAAAACCACTAACAACGCGATAACTCACTGATTAAACGCGCGATAAGCATTAAATTTAACAATGATGGTAGGGTGGTAGGAAAGACCTTTATGGGTTCGGTTAAAATGTTAAAAATTTGAAGGATATTCACATGGAATATGGAATCTATTTCTAATAACAGATAATCCTATTATCTCAACTGAATGAAATTAAGGCAATACTTAGCCAAGTTTTGCCAATACCTGAATATATCAGTTACACCCGACTTAGTTCCTCATTACAATTTAATTTTTTCACCACATCCCCAACTTTTAAATAAGTTAGTAAAAAACACTTTTTGATGTTGGTCGGATTTATAGATTATATACTTTTAGTTGCCTCTTTATGTTGCTTTATAAAGATTTGAACACATCTCGAAATTCCAAACCATATTTGTTCCAATAAATATTGAGAAATTAAGAACACTGACTCAGTCATTGTTCTAAGTCTACTATTATAAGAATTGTATTTATTGATTTTTAACTATGTATGTTGTACTCGGTTATAAAAAAGCTTAATATATGCAATCATATGAAATATTTTCTTTGTCATTAGGAAACTAAAACAAATGTTCAAATACTACATTAGGGATCAGTAGATATACACATGTGTATCTTTAAATAGTTGGTGTTCGAATAACTCCGTTTTATCGAATTATAATAATTTATTCCACAGATTGCTAGTGGTATGCAGACTTCAAATGTGGCTAAAGTAACACACAAAAATTAGTTGATTTATAACTCACTGCCGGTGACGATAATGTGCTTAGAACGATATCAAAGTTATATATGGTTAGCATAAATAACAATTGTGTTATTCCAATACAGATATAATTGAAATCAATTGCAACCGCCAAAATTAATTTCACTCAGAATTGAATTATAATTGTTTTTTGGTTTGTTGGCAGAAAGCAATAAATACTCGATTACGACTACGTAATTATCAAACACAAAAAACCGTCTGAAATAAATGACATACCCAAAAGAGCGACATATAAAAGAAGCTAAGACTTCAAATTCAAAATACAAAGTGTGCACAAACCAGTAAGGAAGAGCTAGGTTTACGTGTATTTCATACTCCCAAAATTATCAAGCACCAAGCCCGAGAAAATACTTTATGATTGCAATCATATTTGATATCTTATGAATTTATATTATAAGTAATATACACACTTAGTTTTATTGCCATACTTCGTCCGATATATTTATTTATATTTGCATCAATCTAAACTCAAATGATAGGTATATAAACTCAACCGAAGAAGTTAAATTTAAACCACTTTATTTTTAAGACAAGCTGTTTAAAGTAAAGTGGGAAGGTGGTGTATAAGAGCTGGGGTAATTTGTGGACTGATAGATACATTTTTGGAATTAATCTTTAGTGTGTCCAATACTATAGGTTCAAATAATTTTATTAAGACATCTTCATATATGGGTGCTTTGGGTAATATTGAACCAATTTTATCCATTTTTGGCATTACGTATAACATTGCCAAAATCCTCTATGAGTTTTATTAAAATACTAATATTTAATGAATAAAGACAAGATGATATTGTAGAACTTTGCATAAGATATATGGAGGCTAAGGAAAGTATTCAGAATACATACTGCTATCATAAAAATATTCAATCCTATCTAATTTCCTTCATTTTTTCAATCGATCTCACAGATTGACCAATATTTTCGGTAAAAAGTCGCGACCACTGTCCAAGTTTTACAATGGGTCCTTCGTACGATCTCGGACGTGAAATTTATTATTGCTGAGGCACTTATTTAATGAGTTATCGCACCTTTAGTAGATTTCAACACAACCGTATAGTGAATAGGCGGAGCTAACATACGATTTTATCCATCTTCATACTACATGAAGAGATAGCAGAAAACATTTTTGCAATAAGTCTTGTTAAATAACTTTAGTAAGGCAGGTCATGTCCATGAAGTTAAAGTTTGATTTCTTTCGTTTTGAAATTCTACAAATAATAATCCTAATACCCGTGACAGACATGTAGTAACAATACCATAGTAAAGGTATCATGGTACCCTGTTAACTACCTTGGAGACACAAATGGCAATGTAGCAAACTCAAATACTACCTTTGTTTCATAGCCATTAAATATGTCAAAAAAATTTTAAACAATAAATGTGTGGTTGTGTGTTGTGACGACAGTAAATATAGTTATTTCAAATACTGTAAAGGTAATCTATTTTCATCGCAAAAAAACGATTTGGTTAAAGTCTCCCCAAAATCTTCACATTAAATGAGGCATTTCCTGCTTTTCCGGCAGAAAAAAAGAAAAATTTTGAAAAATGTTTTGCTTGCATTTCATAAATTAATTTTTTAAGTAATTTTGATAGAATATTTCGAAGAGCTTTTGTATAAAAGCTTTTAGCAAAGTTTGTTACCTGTTTTTTTAGCTGTGATTATACAAATACCACAATGAAACATCATAATATTGTTACCAGCAAAATGCTACATTGCTCATATGGTATTTTGCTAGTATTTGGTGACAAACATATGGTATTTGTACCATATATGGTATTGTTACTACATGTCTGTCTCAGGTATTATGCAAAATACAAAAAAATAACGTACCTGCAATAGGTGCTCCAACTGTCGCTGCAATACCCTGAAACAGCATAAGGAAACCAAATGCATTTGTTAGTTTTTCCAATCCAATCATTTCCACGGCAATTAGCGAACGCAACGCCGAAAAACAAGCTATACAAACGCCAAAGAAGATAGCGAATGCCCATTGAGTCACAACCGTTATTTTTAGTCCACTGAAAATTGTCGCCAGACCACCCGCTGTGATGGCCACATTGTTCAACCATAGTGGTTTCACGCTGGGAATCGAACTGACCGTACCACAAACTAACCTAGCAATTGTATTAACTAATCCTATGCCAGAAACAACGCTCAGTGCAGTACTTTTGTCCATTCCTGCCGCTTCGGCGCGTGGTGTTAAAAACATAAAAGGCACAAAGAAACCCATCATGGTTAGAAAGCCGCTGAAGGCCAGACACATGAAGGATGGCGACTTGAGTAACGATGTGTCCAACATCGTCGATAAAGTACGCCGCACAGCTTCAGGACATAGTCGGCATCCCTTTTGGCGATCCTCAAGCATATCCTGTTTGGTTGGAAGACGTGTCACCGACATATGGTAGGCTAGGGAAGTTTGTGATTGATATTGTGGAATTCGTGCCAAGGAACCAGTGAAGAATATATCATCACGGTACATTGGTCTAGTGTGAATATTGTGCACGGTATCTTGCGATCCCACTGCACTCTTCTTCCCAACGATGTCGTTTGGCCTTCTGCCAGACACTGTATGCCTACGTGCCTGTATTACCACTGGTTTTGCCTCAGTTTCGATTAAATTCTCATTCTCAGTTTCTTCTTCATTTTCTCCAACTGTTGTTAATTCTTTGTTGATATTGAAGTGAAGTTGTGAGGGTTGAGGCTCACCATTCGGAGTAGTAGGCTGCGATTTTCGCAGAGCTTTCAATTCGGTACCTTTACCGGAAGAGCTTGAGAGGCGACGCTCAATATTGGCACCTCTAAAAACTTCTGCAGCTGTGGGATAATGATGTTTGGGAGATGCCCCCATATATGTGTTATGTGCTGAATTTGGCATTGAGTAAGCGAAACGTCCTTCAGGCAGTGGTTTAGTAAAGGCAGCTTGATGGAGTTGGGGCTTTGGTGCAACAATATTGCCATGTCCATTGCGTTTCTCATTATCATTCTTGTTCTCGTTAGAATCTTCATCAACAGCCAGTGTGATGGGCTGAATTGGTCGAAAGGCGCATGCAAACAAAGCACAAAACGCGATTATAATTCCTTGAATTACTAGTGTGTATCTCCAACCCGACTTTAGCAGTATATCAGTTAATGGAGTGAATACAATAGTGCCCACTCCAGAACCGCACATAGCAATACCGGTTGCCAGAGCACGCCACTTTTCAAAATAAAAGCCAATTATTACAACGGCCGGTATATAGACCATGGAAAAACCTATACCCGCGAGAACCCCATATGTTATAAATAAGAATTCAATACTTCGAGCCCAATATGATATACCAAAGCAGGCTGCTGCAAATAGCGCTCCAGCTATGGCTACAGGGCGGAAACCGAAGCGATTTGCCAAGGCACTTACAAATGGTCCTGCCATTAAATAACAACCGCTGAGAAGTGAAGACACTAGCGCCGCATAACCTTTTTTAACATTAAACTCTTTGATTAAGTCTTCTTGAATTAAACCAGAACAAAAAACAATCCCGTCGAGTACCGTACAACATAAAAATGATGCCACCATCACGACCCATGCCCATCCGCTATCCGGTGGAACGACTACAGCTGCAGTCGATTCGTCGATTTCATAATCTTCATCATTCCCATTTAGGGGCTCAGCCACGGCTTTGGTCTCCTCATGTGCTCTGCTGCTCTGCGTTGCCATTTATTCTAAAAGTAGAGTAGAATGGAAGTGAACAATAAGTAACTACTTTGCCTTATTCAATTTCAAAATAAATTAATTCCGTTATAATTATATTTCCGATAAGATGTCTTATGTAATACTGGTGATATTCATAATCACTAAGTAAGATTAGGGATTACGTTTAGAAAGTCACATTGTGTATTTGATATCAGTACAACCGGGCGTGGAAATATTTTAGGTAAAATCATTTGACTACGGAATACTATATATATATGTACATGTATGTATATATAGTGGCATTACTTACTTGCAAATGATGAAAATTTTCAAATTTCGCTAATTTTCCCATCGTAGCCTAAAAATACTTACACCTAGCTTAGGTAGTTTGACAAGGTTCCAGAAATATAGGAGATACGTATAATAAAAACGGTTAGATTCCGAAGCTAGGTCCACCTTAAAAACTTGCTCAGGCTTTGAGTAGCTTAATTCGTTAAGATTCGTTTCTGCCAATATGTAATAGCAAAACGAACGAAATGCAAGTCAACGATCTTCAGCTTTTTTTTTTTTTTAATTAAAGTAAGGATGAACACACATAATACATACATCCGGAAAGCAATAAGTACATTTGATTTCTGATTATTTTGTTACACATTGCACTATACACATCTAACACGATTAAATCTTGGTGTTGGCATTACAAATAACCGTTAGGTTAACAAAACTCACAAAACATACTTTGATCAACATATTGTGAAGGTATTAATTTAATTAACCTGCATTTGAACGATACTATTTATCGATGGTAATAAACATATAAATTTTAATATTGCCACTTAATTTTGCTGGGAAACCCGTTTCCCTAGGGTTTGGCTGCATAATATTTGTGGGTTACCATGTGAAGTTTGTGCAGAGAAATCTGTGTAGTAATTCATATTTTGAAAACCAATTTTCTATTCGCAAAGCTCGTTAGCGGTTTGTCCGATTTTATTGAAATTTTGAGGGAGTATCTAGGAGTCCTTCAACATGTTTCCATTAATATAGTTATAATAATTAAAAACAATTTGCTGGAATTTTTTTTTGCCAACATGAATGCAATGGATACATGATTTAAAATACATACTTATTGGGTAGTTGAATACTACTGAAGGACTAGTACGCGTATATGTATATTTGATCATGGTTAAATCGACTCAGCTTCTCATATATACTTAAACATATTTTAGAAAAAGTTACCATTTATCGAGAAGATGATATGAGAAATTTTTAAAACAATCAATTAATAAATGGACAACAACAATAGTTGCGGGATGTCAAAATAAGTTGAGCGTACCTTTCAAGTTTTTATGAAATATTTTAAAAGACTGATAGAAATTTTAAAATAAAGAGTATCAAAACAATGTCTTATGTGGAGAAAATGTTACTCTTGCAATAGAAGAAACTACTTAACTATTTTCGTGGGAAAAGACACTTTGTTATTTAACTGCAACTTTTACTACAAAAGTGTTATCTTGTACAAAAATCCGAGATAATTTCAGTCAAAAACTATTACACAGTACTGTGTAACAGTAATTTGCGGCAGTTTTTCAGCAAAGCTAACGAAAATAGAAATAAGCAACATACAATTCCCTCTCTCCGAAAAAACAAGCCATTTATTTGCACTGTTGTTAGGTCTTAACCGCACTATACAATTAATAAAACTGAGATTGTACCTATTCTCAAAGCATCACTCAAACGAATACGCTTAAAATCATAATTTTGCAAAAATTCATATGTACGAGTATAGATAACTAACGTATATCTAAGTATATAATAATCCTATATACATATTTAACTAAGAAATCTAAAGTATTTGGAAAATTTTGCTTACTTGACAACCAAAAGATTTGTAACTACTACTTGATTTAACAATGCAAATTCTAACTAGATAAGACCTATCATCTTATTTTAGACCATAATATGTTATCTTTATAACGAAATTTTGTAAGTAATCGGGAACTGTATTATTTTGCTAAAACCTATTGGGATTTCGCTTGATAAAACTCATTTGACATTAATATTTTTAGCTTCGTCGCTGATTTTCGCTCGCTTAACCTTATAGTATAGACAATTTTTTAAATTTTATTCACTCGGGGAAATATGTACCTTGACTTTTAGAGATCGTGTTCTAATTTAAATATAGTATATTACAAATATATAGCAAATATTATATTGTAATAAATATAAAAAATAAAATTGAAAATACTTTCAGTAAAGCACTTGGTTCTTGGTTCCAGTCTAGTTGCCAAGAACATAATGAATTTCAAAAAAGTCAATCAATCAAAAATTCAAAGAAGCTTTCTGATCATACACTCCAGGGGTGCCTTAAATTTTAATATTTAGCATTACTAATAAAACAATACAGACCAAATAAAATCTTGAACAGTTTATCATTACACATTGCTTTAATCAAAGAAAAGTCAACAGTACCGACTCTAGTTTATTTATGTCACATACCCTTATTGTTTTGCTTGTGCATATGAGGGTATGAATGAGTGTATGTATTTTGATGAAAATGTGTCACTGTAGTCGTATGGATGCATCGGGTTTATTTCATGAGCACTGATGGAACGGAGTATGAGATTATTCTCAAATAGAAAAAGTTAGAAAACTTGAGCTCGTTTTGAAATATTTATTTTTACTACACAATAAATATTGGAAAACGAGTTCAAGAATTTCTTACAAATTAATAAAAAATTATTTTTTTGTTTTAGAATTTTGTTTACAAAATTAAAAAAATAAGTTTTCAATCCTTACTTCGGATTTTAAGCAATATTGCCAAATATGGAATCCATCGTGTGCTCTTTCTCTCTGGTGAACATCTCCAAACACTACCTCGAATCATTAACTCGTCGTTGTTGTTGGTCAAAAGTGAGCTCGTGCCGCGCAGACTTTGCACATTGCTTTCTCATACCAAAATATTCGTGAATGATAATGAAGTGCGTGCTCAATTGATATCAATAAAAAGCCTGCTATCAGTTCACTATACGGTCATCCAAAATAACTGTTTTGTGGACTTTTTTAACATTTTTATCGATAACAGACAGTCTGGACCTCTAGGAACTTCAGAAAAACGAAGAGGACCAATACTGCAGAAAGCTTTTCATTGCTCTCCCCTGACGCGGTCCCTTAATAGATGAAGTCTTTAACTGGAGACTATATATAAATTATATGGGTTTCTTACAGACGATTTTTCAACAAGGATTAAGGCATGTAACGAACATGCCTACCTAGAAGGTAGGACTAGCAATCCACAAGTCCGAAATTAGGAAGGCCAAGAGGTCTTCGTTCAAAGCATTCACAGCTCAAGCGCATCCTTGCAAAGGACTTCATTTCCTTAGAGTATTTAAATAATGAAAGTGATAGCTGGGCTCTGGAGAGTGAGGATTCCCTTAAATTGCTCCTGAACGCTCACTTTCCAAGCAATCTTTACCCTGGGATAGCTACTCTTGGAGTGCTGGAGACGGACTACATATCTTTTTCGAACCTTCTGAATAAAAGCTCCCGACATAGGTCACCAGCTCTTTCAAAACATTTAAGTCTTCTGGGCCGGATGCCATTATACCAGCTCAGCTGCAACGTCTCTTACGAATTCGTGCAATTGGCTGGTACCCATCTATGCGAACTGCATTAGATTCGAATATATGTATTGCTGCAGCTTGGAGGAAAGTTAGGGTTGTGTGCATTCCGAATTCCGTAACCATTGCGCAATGTGTAAACGACTGATGTGTTTGCAATTGTTTTTGAGTACAATTTCCAAATTGTGATTATATAGCAACCGCAGTAATAGTTTTAATTTTCTAGTTTTCCGTTTTAATTTTATATTGTCCTAGGTATGTACCATATGTACTTTCAACAAGAAACAGTATCGAAAATAAGTTATGACTCAAGAATGGCTAGAAATTAATAATCTCTGGTCAATTGGAGTAATTTTTTTGTGAATTGTATGTATTACTAGTAATTTCCGCGGGGTTTTCTTTTTTATTGACAGCTTCTGCCGAGCCCCTAAATATATTATACTATGTATTTGCAGATACCCTATTATATGTGTTCGTGCGTATTACAGTTTTTTATGTTACTTGTTGAAAAATTTATATTCGTTTCATTTTTAGAAGTATCTATTTATGTTTTGTATTTGTATGGGTTCATATACTATTCAACAGAAATAGTGTTGAAAGCATTTCATTTGTATTCATCTTTCAAGATTAAGATCGTCACTTCTGACACATATTTCTGTCCAACGCAAGGGGTTTTTAAATTTCATAAAAATGTCTAATTTTTTAAGATATTGTTATTTGTAAAATAGGTTTTTGCGAATTTTATACTAGGCTCGTCTGTATACAAATAAATAAATTCCTATGCCATTAAGAGTTGCCACTTGAATATGAAAATTATAACGTTGTCTCATGCTTTATAATGTTCGTAAGGAGTATGAGAGAGTTGCTAGCTATTACAACAAATTGGAATGTTATGTCATTAATATAATATTTAGCACGACAACGCTTTTTATGACTCTACTATAGTTATAAATTCTAGAAAATAAATTATATATGAAAGGATTTAAATATTTCGATTAAGAAAAGAACGCATCCGTCAACAAGGGTTTCGAAGTAACATACGATTAAATAGGATTTGATTTAATAAATTAATAAAAATGTATGTTTGTGCTTTATATATTTATGTACATATATAATATGAAGGGAATTTGACACTAATCTAATATCGCGGCCGTCTATGTACTCATACCTTGTGACTTGTGTTTTAGACTCAACCGCATAAGCTGGCAAACAAGAAACTGAGCAGTAGTATTTTACGACTTATGTATTTTACTCCGAATTTACTTAATTGTTATTTTAAGATTGTCAACTGAAACAAAAAATGTGCAAATCTGTGAAAGCAAGGCGGCCATTGAAGGTAAAAATACATGAGAAAATATTTGCACTAATAAATACATATATTATATATGTATATGTACATATGTATACGTTAA